CAGACCCCGCTGCGCCATCTCAAAGCAACTACCCCTCTGCCGCGGCGCCATCCACCGGAAACGGACCCAACCTCACGAGCACTAATACTCTGAGTCGGCCACTCGCGGTCTACAGATTCGTGTTCTTCATAAGCTAAGCCTGACCCGTAGCTTCTAATCCAGCCTGGTCAAACAACAGCGGCGGCGCATCCCTTTCCCGCTATTTTAAAACTGGGTCCGGTCTCTCCCATGCCTTTGATATAACAGAACTTGCGGCGGCTGGCTGTGCCTACAGTCTGACCGCGCGGAGCAATAGCTGGCGTCTGTTACTCACCGCATCGGCCCCCTCCGGGTAACTAGGTGCTCCGCCATTCTGGTGTCCTCCTTCGTCCCGCTGTTGGAGGATGTCCTCCAAGCCTTCTTGGCCTCCGCCGCGCGATTGCTCGCGCTCTGCCATCACTTCGCTGTTACTGGCGACCGATATGCCAGCAACGTCAAATCGCCTTATCTACTTTACTATTGAGCTGGGTCCCGAATACAAAGTAAGTCACTATTTAAACAATTCAAAATCCCCAACAGACGACGTTCTGACTTGCGCTTGCTTGCACGGTTGACTGGCGAACTAGCGTTGTCTGGATTCAGCGCTTTGTTCCCAGCTAATCTTTGTAACGCACTACCGTATCAGTCACTGTCCTCTGGCCAATTCCGGTCTGCTCCTCCCGCGCCGCACTTGCCGTACTACACTACAGGACGAGCACTTAATCAACATGCAATGACCCAGTGGATACCTCTGCAATCACCGTCCATAAGCTTTCCGCGCACCACTGTGCTGGAATGTCGATTTCACCACCTAACGTTCAGGCGGTGGCGCTGCCAGTCCTTGCCACTTGCTGACCCAGAACCCAAATGATACTGGCCAGCCGCACACACGAACTCACCTTAGCATTTGCAGTGTCCCCTAATTATAGACGCATTACTCTTTTGTTTAGGTTGGTAAGCCTTCACAGCCACTAATCCCCACAGCGAAAAAGCACGCACTGCGTACTGCGAGCTATGCGACAAACCACATACGTGCACAAGCGCGCTTCCCCAGAGTGCGAAAACCCCCTCCTGGAGCCCCAGCCTGGACAAGAGCTTCATCCCCCCTGCCGCCCCCGCTTGCCCGCCGCCATCAGCACCACTCCAGAATAATCCCATATAGCATCCTACACGCTGTAATAACTATGTGACGGTTGTGTATCCGATCCGCATAATGCTCTTTAGTTCATTCCCTAACGGGGAACTAAAATTGAACGTCGTCCTAGGACGGTTTGCGGTTCCCTTTAGGGGAAGAACTTTAGGCCCCACTCCGTAACAAACATGTCGATACACCCCACCCGCACCTGTGTAAAGTTAGGCACTGCAGCACCTCACCACAAAGCGCGTGCGGGGCCCCTTCTCATGCAGGTGCCGCCGTAATGGGAGGTTACAGCCCGGCCCACGATGCAGCCCACACTCGTCCACCCCCCCCTCCCCCCCCCACACACACACGCGCGCATATACACATACTCACATGTCGAAACCTCCACCAGCAGCACAACGTGACGCCCGCTTCCGCCGTGAGGCGTACCAACACCACCGCCAACATCGACACCGACAGCGCACCTCCGAAACCACCACCCCGCAGTCGGGGTATGGCCCTTTCTTCAGGTACAAGAGCCCCCACACGCACACATGTGCGACGGCTCCCCCTTATTCACATACACATACACACACACGCAATATACTCACACGGATATACACACTGTAACAGCATACATACACCGTGTCGCAGCGCGTGCTGGGGTCGGTTGTGAAAGGGCCCTCGTAGCCACCATGCGCTCTTTCACCGCCCCGATTACATGAGGAGGAGGAGAGTGCTGCTTCGGCGGTCGTTCCTGTTGGGGTACGGTTAGGCGCCCCTGGCCAGTGTCAGGCCCGGATCGATATGTAGCAGAAACATACATGCATACATTCTTACACACACTAACACACGCACATACATACATACACATACATAATAGTAATAACAACAACATGCTGAGGCACACGCTGCTCCTTGTCAATCCCGACAGCAGTCACGCGCGTAACCCTTTCCGACGAAGGGCTGAGCAACTTGGTAGGGTACAGGCCCCCGGCATGAGAGCCCTTCGGACCCCACATCCACACCACCACAACAACCAAGTCCAGAAAGGTACGGAAGATACCGAAGATAAGGGGAAGACAGAAACCAAACCGTCAGGACCTCCTGCTGCTAGTGATGCCGCTGCTGCAAAATGTTGGAAAATGAAAATAGCCGCCGTCTTGCGCTCCCTTCCCTCCCACCCTCTCTTCCGCCAATTTCGATACACGACCTCCGGCACCCAAAAACACTCACGTAAGCGTGTTTTTTTTTAAATTTGGGGGAGGGGGAAAATGTGGGTGGTGGGGAGGGGAAAGGGTCGCCGGGCTGTCTTCCACTCCCACCGTCGTCCGTACACCGGCGGGATGCTCTCCCCCCCCCTCCGCGATGCCTTTCTTCCTTTCTTCACTTTCCGCAACTCGGCCCCCTCCCCTTACCGGTTTAGTACTGGTTTTGTGCAGCCGCTTGCACCGCACCACCCACAACACTGCACTGTCTAGCTCTTTCGAACACTCCAACGAAAACAATCGGGCAACTCCGACTCCTGAGATGGCTGAGACTGATAAGTCCACCGAGCAAGACAACCTGTCGTGCGTCTGTTGTGTAATCTGTCTGCCACATGAGTGGTTTGTATTTTGCCGAAAGAAAAAAACAAGAATACGATTAGGCTCTCGAGATGCAGGAATAGATAGATAAGAAAATTCATGCACTCTTGGAAACCATAGGATGAGCAAAAGTGCATAATGTGTAGGTGCTGCAAAACCCTTTTTTTCTCTCGCGCGCACACGGGCACTCCAATTGTCGTACTTGTATCGTATCGTATCGTGTTGTCGTCCTCGTCCACGTTGTCATGGTTTAGATTTTTCCTTTCACGGCAATGCCACCCAAAGACCAACGGTTGAAAATCAACCACAACGATCCCCCAACATTCTAACTACCATCCCAACTATATCATCAACGACCTGAACGCGTGTTGATGATAATTCTTAGTGGGCCTCTCAACCTCCCATAACCCCCACTGCTGACTCAGCTCATTTATTACCCCCCCACACACACACACAGACTCGCGTCCCCATCTCTTCCTCCCCCTCCGAGCTCACGAAGAATACAGATCTTCCACCGCTTGCTCAACTTGCGCTGTTGCCTTCGTCTCCATTGCGGCAGGAAATCTCTATTCCCTTTCCAGTGCCGCAGAAAAAGCGATACCTGGTTCGTTTTCCCTCAACGGTCAACCGCCATTGTTACTCGTCCAACGCGCAAACTTGTTAGAGCTTGAGCCCCAGGCGGCGGCGAAGCTCCGTGTTCTCTTTGAGAGCTGCTTCCAACGCGGCTTGTTCCGCCGCAGACAGCTGCTCCGAAGCCGCTGTCGCCGACGCTGCTGTTGCTGCTGCTGCGGCGGCGGTTGTTGCGGCGGCAGTATCGGCGCCGTCAGATGGCGGCGGCGTCGGTCGGAAAACCGCCGCGGTCGCGGCCTCCGTTGCACCCTGCAGCATGCTCCGCCAGTTCGCCCTCGTCGCCCGAGGCGTACGATGGGAAGACGTAGACCTGACGTCAGCGGCGGCGCCGACGGAGGCTGCAGCGGACGACGTCAGCGGCAACGATGGCGACGAGGCCGACATCGTCGATGAGGCCGCCGTGGCGGTGGCACCGGTCATTGCGTAGGCGCTTGCGTACGACGCCGCCGCGGGCTGCGACGCGCTGCCGTACGCCCCGCGTTGCGATGTGGCGGCGTGCGCGGGCGGTGTGCCGGGCCGTTGTACGGGCGCCGGCGGGGGCTGCACAAGAGGAGGGGGGAGGTGCAGACGCCCAGGGGGGCCGGCACTCAGGTCGCTGTCCCAAGGAACTGTTTTCCACCCCACCCCACCCCGGCCCCTACTTCCGCACACGCAGGTGCCACGAGCAGGTGCTGGTCAAGGGGGGGACAGTTGCGAGTAACGAGCACATGGTACGTATCACACTGGCGCCTGTCCGTACGGCATCGCCTCATCGCGTCGTACCTGGCTGTTGATGAAGTTGCTGGCCCAGGACATGGGATTCCGAGGGCCGGCGGTGTCGCTGCTGCCGCCTCCGGACCTACCGCTGGCGGGCTGGGTGGCAGCACGTCTGCCGATAGGTGGCGACCAGGGTAAGGGGCAGGGGGGGGAAGGTGGGGGGGGTGGATGGCAGCATGCGAAAGATCCCTTTAACCAAGTAAATCTTATAGATGAGGTTTGCAAGCTCCTCCTGGTGCGGCGGGAGGCCAGGCGGGTGAACACGTACACATGTGTGTGTGTATGGGCCAAACCGCAATACTGAACATCAACAACAATACGGCGCCGAAACCAAGTCGGCATCTTCGTCTGGAAGATGCGAGGGGGGCCCAGGGGGGGGGGAGGGGCGGCGGGGCCGAATGAACGGGTTGCTGTCACCGTGCGTGTGCGGCGTATGGCGGGGAAAGCCTTCCTCCACCTTTTTCCCACCCACCCCACCCCACCCCGGGTGTACCTCCGGAGGGGCACCTCCCATACACACATACATACATACACACAGAGTTCCCACCTGATCATATTTGTGGATGTGGGATCTTCCGGCGCCGAAACCAGCACAATGCAGCTCCAGGGGAGTACGGGGTAGGTGTGGTCGGCGGTCCACATGGACATGGAGCGACGAGCAGCCGCCACGTCAGCGACACTCAGAACACCGTCGGCAGCTAGGAAGTCATACGGCGCAACCTGAGTGTTTCATGCGAGTACGACAAAAGGTTAGAGGAGTGTATATGGGCACGCTACGACGCTGAGGTGCGAACCCCAGCAAAACGGCACGCGGCAAAAGCTGTACGGAGCTCGGCTTGCGGGTTCGGCGGTGGTTGAGATGGCGAGGTTTTGTCAACGCTCCGTACACCGCCATGCTGCGTACACACACGTACACACAAATACACACACAAATACACACATACACATACACACAAATACACACATATGCACACGTACATATACACATACACACCTTGCTGGTATCCAGCAGCGGCTGCCACAGCCTGCCGGCCCAGTTGGGCAGCTTCAGCAGGCGGGGCATGTGGCTGGTGTTGAAGGCCACGTACAGGCCCCCCCCTTTGCCGTCAGACAGGGTGAAGGCCACCAGGCGACTCGTCTCGCTCCAATCCGGCTGGTGGGGCAGCTGAGTGAAGGCAGGGCAGGAGGGCAGAACGGGAAAGCCTTGGAAGAGGGAAGATGGACCCGGGGGGGGGCGGGACCGATATGAACATGTGCTACGACCCCACGGCGGGAGGCGGACAGGAGCAGGCAAAGGAAATATTGAGAGACGAAACGGGGGGTGCAAAATGCAAGAAAATCAACTGCAAACGTCCCAACTAAGGAGGGGGGGAGGGTGAGGGGGGGAAGACGAACCACGAGGGAGTGAAGCTGCTGCCAAGGAAAGAGAAGCAGGACTGGGACCACTAGGCGGTTTTGAAGGAGCCGACCCCGGGATGGCGGAGGAGGAGGGGGAGGGGGATGAGGACGAAAGCGCAACAGTCCATCACCCTCCTCACTCCATGACTCGCCCTTTCTCCGATCTCTACGATACGAGGCCCCGACCCTCCANACACACCCCG